AGCAGGAAGACCTCGCTTGGATCCGATGTCGAGGCTCATCCATTCTGAATTTTGACTGCTATGCGCTATGGCAACTCCTATTCCTTAAGCATCCAAACGGGAAATCGAATTCTAACGATCGAATGTCTACCAACGTACTTGATCTTTCGACAGCACATGAGCAAGGAATAGAGATCGAGCTTGGAACCTGGTACACTTGTGATGCTAAAGCAAATGATTATTTGGATGAATACATGAATAATCGGCGAAAACAAGTTTCCATCTCTGTGAGTGACCAGCTACTGGATTTCGATCTTTTGAACTTTACGTTCACAAATCAACAAGAAACAATGTCGGGTTTCATACGGTGGATTCCCAAACTAATATCCAATAGTGACCTTCAAAAACATCATATCGTTAGTGTTGATAACTTTGAGGCATCGACGAATTTGGAGCCCATTCTACTCAAGACACAACATATCAGACAACTCTCAGAAGCCCAAAAGACTGGAAAAGTGTATCAAGAACAAATGCTTGACGATGACGACTATGAACTAGCATCTAATTTAGAACAAGCGGCTGATTATGACGAAAGTGAACACCGATCCCAATCAGTAACGAATCATTTTCGTGGTTGTTGCCGAGTGATTGACTTCATATTAACTTCTTTTTAGGCCGACACGTGCAGCGAGGATCGTACTGCTTATTTCAATATCCTTGTCGGTGAGGACAAGCAGTCAGCTCCAATGACCACAAATATGCCTGCAGATGACACTAAGGTTATTATTGACGACAACCAAGCCAATATGAAGACGTCAGCGCAATTTGCTGAAATCAAAGTAGTGGCATCTTCAGGCGAATCGCAAGAATTGAAGGAAAACTTGGTAAAGTTACAGGACGAAAATAGGAAAATGAAAGAATCTCTTGATACTGAACGGCTAAAAATTCAAACCAAAGAGGATCATACAGAGCGGGAACATCAAACGGAGTTAAGGATTGCCAAAAGCCGTATCGATGCATTGGAGGCTGGTCAGGCAGAGAAAGATCAACAATGGAAAACTATCAAGGCCCAACTTGAACGAACATTTCAGGGAAAATTAGAAAAAGAAGAACAAAATCTGTGTACCGCTCTGGAACAAATCACACGATTAGGAGATCAGTTGGAAGCGTCCAAGAAAAGAGAAGCTACTTTGAAACAAATTGAACAGATGATCCAGACAATCAAATATATTGGTATTCCCACGCAAGCAATGCATGATTTTCTGCTGCCGAAATATGATCACTTTGTCGATCACCTCAAGAGCAGCGTGAGAAATGTGGATGAATTCTTCATCAATAAAGTGCCGGAAGTTAAATTCAAAGAACAAAATGGCGCTTATGAGATGACGGTGTCCGGTTTTCCTGATCACCATACAACTTACAAATCTGCATTGCAGCGACTACTCAACTTATCCAATTCTAATAGTTCGGCAATGGAATTCTATCAGCGGCATCTGAATCGAATTCTACACTCAATCCATCGCATACTGATGGGCGTAGGTGATCGCACACACAGTTGGATAAGATACATGGACATCCTCAATCAACTTTTTCAAGAAAAGAGCATCAGCTACAGAGATCGTTTCAATGATTATGTTCGAGAAAAATCGAAATTGTTGATTGAGCAAGTTATCCAAGACACCTTAGTCTCTCCAGACGACGAGCTTCGACAGCAGACAAATAGTTTCATCCGTCAACACGAACTAATCAATGAAGTGGAAGGATTGAAGCAGCGAGCACTCGAAGAATTCATCAAACAGTATATTCTGTCTCAAGATGCCAAACTTGGCCAGACACCAAGAGAGAAATCTGTCCAGACCGTGAAGACCTTTATCGATCGAATCAAAAACAAATTACGAACTGACCTAAACTACGCAGGCCACACAATAGAAAGCTTCAAACTCATACCAGCTTTGCTCAAGCAAATCATTATCTATTACTCTTGTTTTCTGGTACAGTTACCACTATTCGAATCTGCAAGAGAACTGATAGGAATGGTGGAAGCGAACACGGTCACAACTATCACAACATCCACAGGATCAGGTAAAACACTGGACACTGTTATGCTTTCTGCAATTGCATGTCTACCTAGGAAAATCAACCTTATTGCCGGCTCTGCTCATCGCTGAAGGATACGATAAAGTGATTGTCACGCAGCCAAGACGTTTTCCGTGTATGTCGGTCTCGGAACGTGTGAATAGCACGATCAAGTCCGACATAAACGACTCGCCACCGAGCTTAGCCGGATGGGCTGTCAGCGGCGATGATCACAATCGAGATGCCCAGATTCTCTATCTAACTGACGGTCTTCTCAAAGAAAGTCTATTGTATGACGAACATTTTATAACAACTCACACGAAAGTGAAGAAGTCCGTGGTATTTTTCATTGATGAAGTTCATGAGCGGTCGGTCAATATTGATTTGTGCTTGGCATTGCTGGCTCGATTGTTAACTGTACAACCGTCAATCAAGGCCAAAATGAAGCTGATCATCTCATCTGCTACATTGGATTCATCGGTTCCACGCCTGTTCCGTCAAATAGCGGATGTTAACTTGGGTGAATTCTCAATGCCACAAACTAAATTACTACACCATGTGTCGGAAATACCGCGACCGAAAGAAAATGTTCTGGATGTTGTTCAAGAACTATACAAGAAACGTCAGCGACATGATCAGATCTTGTGTTTTGTGAATTCGGTCTCAGAGGTTCATCAATGTTGTCGTCTGTTAGAAGACTTGAGCTCTGGCACTATCAGAGCCTATCCTCTGGTCCAATCTCAATCAGCTTCGGATCAAAAATTCTTCATCGAACATGGAAGTGTGTTCTTCTCAACAACCGTGGCTGAAACGTCATTGACCTTTCCTTCGTTGAAATATGTTGTTGATACCGGCATGGTGAACATACCCATGTACGACCCAGAGTCGAAACGCACCGTTCTACAGGAAGTTCGAGCAGCCGAATCAACAATAACGCAGCGTCTCGGTCGGTTAGGTAGAACGAGACCCGGCGAGTATTATTCCTTGTATGATTTCCAAGTGAAAGATAAACGTTATCCGACGCCACATATCAAACTCTCGGATCTCACCAACATCGAATTCTCATTGAGAAGATCACCGATCAAGAACGGATTGCATTACATGCAGCAGTTTCTACCGGACAGGCCAACACCAGAGGCGATCAACGCAACTATTGAAGATCTCAGACGGCTAGGTGAGTTGCTAGATGAATGAGATGAGCTTGATCAATCGTGTGAATGTTCTGTAGGGGTCCTTAAAGTGGCACCCAACGATGAATTCACTGAACACGGTACCAGTTTAGCAAAACTACCCGACTTTGGATCATTGGCCATGTCTCAGGCAGTACTAGCGGCTTTGACACGGTACCATTGTGGGCGTGATCTGATCTGCCTTTCGTCGATCCTCAGTGTATTAAACACGGCATCGGTATTCAAAGATATTCCGCAAAACATAAAAAGTCCAGACGGAGATTTCATGACACTATTGAATCTGATGAATGAAATATTGCTCATCAAACAGTCTGTTCCATCGCATCAATTTAGATTAGAACGTGCATGCGAAACCAAAGGATGGACAAGTATTCGCCACATTCTGGGACAAGCATTACGACGTTACCGGGCTCTCGAAAAATCTTTCGCCTCATCGACTGAATACTGCCAACGTGCTCAAATCCAATCAGGAGACTGGACTATGGTCGCGAAGTCACTGCTGGCGGGTTATTCCGATAACGTTTTCGTTTCGATGAAGGAGCTTCAAGGAAGAATTCATAGATTCGCTAGATACACAAATACGACCGATATAGCTCTGCTGGACTTGCAGTCAACGCTAATCCGTCCAATAAGTGAAGCACCGGTCACTGTAGTTCTGGCAAGGGATATTCGCTATTCATCAGCGATACGTTCAACGGCGATTATCTCGTTTGTGGGTGAAATAAAACCTTCGTGGATTCCATACAAACTGAAACGTCAAATTCCAGTGAGTTCGCAAGAGGAGGCGCATTTGAATAGTCAGAACATTGTTTCATTGATGAAATCGGTATTCTTCCACTTCATCGATATACTCCGAAATCAGCGAGCTGTGGTCTTCGATGATCACGGAGGCAAAGTCCTCAACGATGAACTTCATCTTCGAGAGCAATTAGTAACAACGAAAACATTCAATTTGGAGAATAAGTATCAGCAAGGTACAGCTCAGTATGATAATTTATCTCGAAATCTGGCAAGTGTTATGAAAATGACCTATATATTCCAACCAATGCAATGGCGATGGAAAGCTGAAAATCAAGTCACAATAACCATTAACAATAACCCAGCACAACAAACCTGTGAAATCACCGTCAAAGGACGCGATTGCGAACATGACAAGGTGAAAGCAGAATTCAAGTCGTTCTTATCTTGGCTGGAACGATGCGCTGTCATAAGACATCCGCATGCTGGTGAGTGTAGATATCGAGCATTTCGGTTTCAGCCGACAGCAGACAATTGCTTTTATTTCAGGAGTTCTTCCGCGCCTACTTCGCCCTCAGGTGCGCAAAAAATATCCAGAAATCGAGAAGAAGATTTCGCGCATCACCGATATAGACCGGACGATGGTAGACTTGTACAAAAGTGCACGAGGTACACAAGCAACGCGTGAAACGCGGATGGAAGTTGTGGCTTGGATAGCTGTCTGTGATTTTCATTGCAAATTAGAGGGCGGTTTCATTCGTGACTGGATCGTCGGCAATCATACCCCGAGATCACCGAATCTATTGGACAATCCCAAATCATGGATTCAATGGAATACTAATGCGTATGGCCAGAACATTCCTTCGATAAACAAAGAAGTGGTCCCGTCCGATTTAGACTGCCACTTACCTTTGAGCAACTATTTTGATGTTGAAAAATTCCAAGATAAACTACACAAGTTCGGTATCACATGTCGAGTATTTCGAGAAGATTGGAGATATATTCTACTGATTGATGAAAATGCGTCAACAGGTCCATTTACAGTTGATCTAATTGAACCTCACGTGGTATTAACACATGATCGCATCGATTTGGATGTGAACAATCTTTCGCTTGAACGAAATTATCCACGAGAAATAGGCATGCGTGTTGATATAACACAGACACCGTATTCGATCGAAATGGAAACTATCATTCAAAATATCCAGAATCGACGCTTCCAAGTTCTTCGTCCGATAGATACACTTGTACAAGACCGTGTGAACAAAATGATCCACCGTGGATGGTCACAGTTTGGAGAGGCATTGTCGTATACACCACCGCCCCCTCCGAAATGCTATACACTTCTAGTGCCTCTACCACCAACATCAACGCTGTATCAATCACTACTACGGGAAATGAGAATCATCAGCAACTCGATCCAGATCGTATCGATTGAGGAAGTTAAAAATCCTCTTCTGGAAGACACATACGAAGCAATGAAAAAAATAATTGCGAAGGAATGTCCAGGATCCAATCCAAACGAAAGAAAATTATTTCACGGTACTCAAGGAGCTGGAATCAGCGGGATACTAGAAAGTGGGTTCGATGATCGGTTTTCCGACGCTACCGGTGCATGGGGTGAGTGTTTCTGAGAGAAACAAACACGTGACTTCGATCATGATGCAATTATTTTTAGGCCATGGTGCGTACTTTGCCGATGACCCACGAAAATCTCACAACTATACTGGTCCACTGCAACCGCGTCAAACGCGTGTGATGTTCTACAGCAAGGTGGTATTGGGCAAGGAATCAATAAAACCACAGCCTGATAATACATTGATTTCGGCACCGAAATCATTTCACTCTGTTCGAGGCACTAACTTCAAATATTGTGAATATATTGTCTATCGTTATGGGCAAGCGTTGCCCTATTTGAAAATCACTTACAAAGCTTAATCACAATAAACTATCTTAAGGGTCAAGGTGAAGATACGGCACTCGCCCTCACCCTCTCAATTTCTTTCTAAGCATTTCTTCAACTCTAAATTTGAAAAGATAGCGCTCGGAGTTGTCGATACAGGTGTGACTTTGTTGTAAAGCAAATATTTACAGAGCACAATTATAAATAGAATATGAATCTTCAGTTTTCTCGTTTAAAGAGAGAATAAGTCAAACTCAGGCCGTGTGCTTTTCATAATATCTCACTGATAAGGCCTCTAGTTAACCGGTCATTGATGAAATGGTGAGCAGTAATATCAGATGACGATGACTACGACACCCACACCCTGATTCTAACTTTGACTTTTAAGATATATCAGTCACTTAGGCGAAGATATATTCTTCAGCAATGTCATTAAATTCTGATGACGTCGATGGCAAGTTGGTATCTGATTATAAAAAAACGTTTAGTCAGACGATCCAGCACGCAGGGAGTGATATGAGCATTCGACTGCCTGCGGATCGATCATTGTACGATGAACTCGAAGGATGAAACTTACTCGAAAGTCCGGGACTAGCGTCTGGCATTGGACTCAATCTCATACAAGATGGGCAACTCGGCTTAGCTATGTTCAATCGCAGTCCGAAATTTCTTGCACCTGGTCGGTACACGTTCCTTTCTCCATTTAATCATTTGATTCGTGTGGTCAGTATCACGGATAAACTTATTACATTAGGCAACATTCAAATTGTGACAGTTAATCAGGGTGAGCTTGGCTTAAGTCTTCGAAATGGTGAGAGCATCTTGCTCGATCCCGGTCGTTACATTTTGACAGCACCGCATGTCTTCGACAAGAGTACTCCAGCCAATGCTCAGTACATCGAACTGGGAACGTATCGGCGGATCACTGTGCCTGTTGGATTCGTTGCCGTGGCATTTGATATCGGCAAGCAGATTATCATTCGCCCCGAAGACACCGAATCAGGCCCATTCGAAACGAATTCACCCACATTTCTTTTCGATAAGAAAACAGGTTTTCAATCGGTACAACTGCAAGTCAGAGAACTTGATCAACTCGTGGTGAACACGCGAGACGGCATTACGATCATAGCTAAAGGTCTTATCACCTATCGAATTCACGATCCACGAATAGCATTCATGACTGTCCAAGATATCCACGGAGCAGTAAAACGAGCAGCTGAAGCGACACTCACTTCGCTGTTTCTCAATGCAGCGATCGATGAGATAGCTCCACCTGTTCCGGAGAAACCCACGGACAAAAAGCTGATCACTCTCAAATCGTCGAGCGAAGAGATGAATTTCAATCAGCATATTCGTGATGCGTTTCTTCATGATTTTTCGCACAAAGTGAGTCAGTGGGGCGTCGAACTACAAGATTTGAACATTGAAAAGCTTGAATTCGATAACAGTGTTAAAGATTTACTACGAAAGCGTGCACAAGCTCGTGTTGAAACAGCGACCAGTCTGGCGAATATGCGTTCTCAAACAGATATTGCTATGCAACAGGCTGATCGTGAGAAGCAACAAGCACAAATCCGGGCAGAAGCTGAAGCATACGTTGTACGCACAAAGGCTGATGCTGATTTCTATGCAGCCGAACGGCATGCACAGGCAGCTAAAATCTTACAAGAAGTGCCACTGTCAGCTCAGCTTGAACTTAAACGGCTTGACGTCGAGATGATAAGAGCGACTGGCGATCGAACAACATTCATGCCCATGAACCTTCATATAGGAGATATCGGAATGGTTGACAAACAAAATAGCAAAATGTACTGGGCATCAGCTACTGGTGCTAACACATAGAAAGGTGTCAATTTGAATCTATGAGCTGTGCATCGAATATTTTTATGACTTTCTTCTGCTACTGGACAATAAACTTCTTCGCTTTTCTTCAGGGTGAAAGTATAAGGGTATGTTAGAATTCAGGAATATGCCGTCATTTTACGTAGAGACGTAAATGTATATGACATTAAGTAACTGCAATCACCAGAGTATATCTCATTGGATAAGCTCTCCGAAAGATGACACAATCACCCTCACCCTCACCCACCCTCAAGATGATCGAGCTCTGTGAGCATTAGCGTGATTAGGACATGATCGTGATATGTCATTATCACTCGTATTGGACTCATCTGCTGATAGTGAATGAGTCCCTTCTGAAAAAGAGAGAGTGCCATTTCGTAATCTTTCATCGCTCTATAATTGGATGCTATATTTGTGTAGGTAGTTGCAATATTAAGATGGTCAACAGGTGCGTGTTCGAGGTCAATTGCCAGAGATTGTGCTAGATATTCTAAGGATTCATTGTATTTGCCCTGGCTAGCTAGTACGCTACCAATGTCATTGAGCAGTTTTGATCGTCATCAATAGGTAGGTTCAGATGCTTGCGACTCTAGACCCAATGCTTCATGATACTTTTCCAAGGCGGTATCATGCCGTTTCTGTTTTTCTAACATATCCGCTATTTTCATCAAGATTGTTAGAACAAATGAGTCATTTCTTAGACGATACCTGGCAGAAATCTTCAGTGTGCGCTCGTAAAAAGTAAGAGCTTCCGAAGTGTTGTTCACCTTCTCTTGGATTGAGGCAAGCTGATAATGAATGAATTCAATAGTGGTGAAGTCATCTATTTTCGTTTCACTAAGTCGACTGTTGTAGATTATTTCGGCAGTCAAGTCTTGAGTCATTAGAATCATTAGTTTGGCGAGTTCAAACACGCCCGGCGATCCTTCGGTTTCCTTTCTTATTGGTTGCATGAGCTGCCATATAAGCTTGTCACGAGTACTTATCGGCTGCAACTTGTCGTGTAATACAACGTCTTTACTCGGTGAATTTTCAACGTGTTCAATTCTAAAAATAGTATTGATAGAAAACGTGTATTCATTTAGAGTTTTCGAAGTAGCTGAGATCATCGGTGCACGCAAATGGAATGGAAACCGTCGTCGACGCGCCAATCATTATAGAGAATAGAACAGCCGTTTCAAATCCATCACGAATCGTCCGCTTGACACTGTTGATAGCCATCTGACGATCTGTATTCATCGAAAGAGATGTATTACACGACACTAACCCACCATTTGTGATCGTTTGCAGTTCAGCAAAGTCATCATAGCTCAGCCCTTGAATGAGAATGGTTGACGATCAGATTGAGATACGCAACGGCAATAAAATGACATAGTTCGCTTTTGTTTGTACCATGAGGAGATAAGAGTTGATGGTGGATGTGATAGAAACGAAACCTATTCATAATTTCTATCTTTACTTCGAAGTGGGATTATCACCAGCTAACTTTCCTTGACACCCATTGTCTTCTCAAAAGTGATCGGACGAGTACAACTACGTTTTAACTACAACTGCTGTGCATCGATGATATCTCCTCTGATCACAAAACGAACCAATCGCCGGAGTCAGCGAAGACCCCCAAGTGAGTATAAAATAGTGATAGCGCGTGCAACAATTAAACTTATTGAGAAGAATAGAATTTTCTCAGGAAGCGTTTTGGACAGCTAGTTTTGTGGACAAACCCGCTCAGTTCTTTGTCTGTAAAACTGGCAGCATACGTAGTGTTCAAGGCGAATCACGAATCCGGCGTCAAGTTTTACTTTCCGAGTGATATGAAGTTCATAGCGGGCTATTTTATGAGGAGATGGCTATTTTTACCGTTAGCCTCGCTTATGAAGGTTATGCATCTCGATATCGACAACGACCATGCACAACATTCAATTGATTGTCTCTCTTTCTGGACAAGATTACTCATTTGTGACAGTTACACATATATCTGGAAATAGCTGCTTAACTTACATCAATCAGAGGAGTGCACGGATTCAGTTCGTTGGTCACGGAGAAAATGATCATAATGGGCTTTTTTCGTTCCTTCAAAAAAATCCCGTCATGCTTGACTGCTCCGCTTGTATGATAAATCGTCTACAGGCAGACCGAATTTCACCAGTCGGCAAATAGTTTCTCACCTTCCCTGAGCAACAAATAACATGAGACAAATATAGTTGCCATGTGGCGTCGTACTGATCGTGTTTCTTGTTGGAGTAACTGCTAGACACTCTTCGGATGAAACATTGCGCGATCAGTTACGTTATCTTCTGGAAAAGCGTATTGAACGCAGTAAGCTTCGTTCACTTGCAAATATTTTCTGCCTTTCAAAGAAAGGATAGAATAATTAAGTAAGTATGTGAATACGAAATCTTATAAATGAAAGACTGTACCTGAAAATATATAAGAGCACCGATTACGGTCATAGTGAAAGCTTCCAGTGCGCTTCATCGAATCAGATAAACAAGAGCTTTCTAAGCTCGATATCAAGATACATAAATATATTATACAGAAAGTAAAGGGTGCGTTCAAAATGTAGAGACATACTCATGTTCTCAGTTTTTTACAGACAACTTCGTAGGACAAGAAATATTTGAGATAAAACGTGTCTACTGGTATGTATCTTCAGCTCTCAGAAGCAGACTGACGGGTACGGTCAAACTGCATACTACCGATCGACTCGCTCTCATTTTCCGTTGGAAATTCGCCTGACCACAAGTTGATGGAAACAGCTAAGCTGACACCTGTATATTCTCTGATGTTTTTAGCGTGAACACTAAATCGAATCACTCTTACTGTTAACCAGTAGTGACTACGTGCGAGACGGTGAGCCTTTGCATCTTCAGTTAGTGAGAATAATATCGAGAACCGCTGAATATGTTTATTCGAAAAAAGAGAAAAGAGAGCTACTTCTCAGAGCTTGGTTAGATATATAGGAAGCATTAGTGAGCTACGGGATTAGTAGATAATCAAAATGAGTAAAGAATCCAATGATCGTTCGGATGTGCCTTCTAACGGGCGATGCATTGTCTTTTTGTAATTGTGTTTCCATCGAAATCTATGAATGTAGCACTTGCACATTGACATCGGCAACAGTCAGAGTCAACTCGACATCGAGCCTGTACCGGACAATTGTCACCGCACATCGGTGTCACATTCGGATTCAAGCAAGATCCATACGTGTCGCTCTGCTGATGTCGATAGCATTGACACTCCAGTGGTCCCTGCTGACAGCAATCAGCATTCGTCGAACAGTTCTTGTTACCGCAGCAAGCGCTTGGAGCAACTGGGGTGGCTATTGTCGTGGTGGAGTTCAGAGGACAGTTGGGCGATGAAGGATTATTGATACAGTAGATGGTGTTGTTACCTCCCATACAGTATTGAGATTATGGATTGTAACATAAGCCTGAACAGAGCTGACTTCCAATAGTACACACGGTGGTTCCATTGATACAGGAACTGTTTGTCATGTCATAACACAATTGCTGACTACCGCATACTCGCACGTTGGTGTTATAATAATAATACCCTGGACAGAAAGTTTGATTGTTGGCACATGCTGTATAGTAGTCCGGTAAGCATCGTGTTCCACATGAGTAGTAGCGCTCGCAAAGTGTGTTATTCGAGCAGGCAGATTGAGAGGAGTTGTAACAAATCAGACCAGATGTAATGTAAGGTGGCCAATTCCATACTGTGGCATTACAAATCGATTCACCGTTATTGCAAACTCTAGCATTGTTGTAGCAATACTGTGAGCTCGAATAGCAAGTGCCATTGCATGAATTGATACACTGAAGAATGGTGCTATTGATACATGTAGCCGCAGTTGGGTCCCAGCACCGTCCTCCGCATAGCCGCGTATGCGAGATGGGACATACAGTGGTGCTATTGACACACGAACTGTTCGTCATGTCATAACATCTTTGTTGGCTCCCGCATACTCTCACATTTGAGTTCCATTGGTAGTAGCCAGAGCAGAGGGTCTGATTGTTGACACATGCCACATTATAATCAGGTAAACACTGTGTGCCACATGAATAATAGCGTTCGCATAGCGAGTTATTCGAGCACACATATTGAGAGGAATTGAAACAAGTCAGACCCGAGGCTATGTATGATGGCCAGAGCGGCACGGTCGCGTTACAAGCTGACTCACCGTTATTGCAAACTCTAGCATTGTTATAGCAATATTGAGAGCTGGAATAGCAAGTGCCATTGCATGAGTTGATACACTGAAGAATATTGCCATTGATACAGTTCGCAGCATTTGGATCCCAGCATTGTCCTCCACACAGTCGCGTATACGAGATGGGACATACAGTGGTGCCATTGACACAGGAACTGTTAGTCATGTCATAGCACCGTTGCTGGCTGCCGCATACCCTGATGTTGGTGTTATAATAATAATACCCCGGACAGAAGGTTTGGTTGTTCACACATACTGTGTAGTAATCAGGTAAGCATCGAGTTCCAC